TAACTTGTTTTATAATTGTTGTAAAATAAATTAAGTTTATATATTTATATATAGAACGTCACGTACACGCCGTCGTCATACATGTCACACATGTTACTTTCGTGCAGAATGGAGCTTTTTGCCTTCTGCCTATTAATTTTATACTTCATGTCCGCAGTGAAGATATCTAAAACCTCAGGTAGGATTACACGTATTTCTTTTGAAGTGTTATTGTTTGTCGGACATCCAACACTGCGTCGTTAATTTCAAACCTGAAAAGCCCTTATCAGGATACTCCTTACTGCGTGCAAATTTTGTCAATACGCATTCATTCCATTGCATCTAAAATGACCATAATTTCTTCAGAATAAAACAGTTGAATTAAGTGCATTACTAGCACATACTCATACATTAAATAATTGACATATTGTCAGAATGTTGATATTCGAACTATGATACTTCAAATCAAATTCTTAATAAACATCGATATCCTGGACCATATTTCGTGTATTTGATAGCAAACCAGACTTTAGATTAGAGGAAATAAAGTTATGTGAATAGATAAATATGTCTAAGTTCCTATTAATGTTAATCATATATAGAAATCGTGTGTTTATAGCGACTTGTTTACTGGCTGTGGGTATACATGCATTACGTAGATAAGGAAACCCTAACCTGAAACAAAGTGGCTCTATATATATATTATTACAATGTTGAAAACGATCCCTTTCTTTGTACAACAGGTCATGTAACAGATGCAATTACGTCCTTGTTAGAAAATTACACTTCCCTAGACTTTAATGAGACTTTTATATGCTTTAACGACAGATGTGCTATCGACACCTGATATTGATATCGTGACGACTTTGACGCAGCACGTTATTTTTATTATATTTTTTTTAAGTAGCATGAGATGTATCATATGTGGTACCCGTCATATGTACGTATCGTCCATTATTTAATGATACAATAAGCATAACGTTGGTCGTTAAGGACATCAAACTTAGTATTTAGTAGATGACGTCATGATAATGAATGTCAAATAATTTCTACGAAGATTGAAACCCTTCCGTTTAGCAACTTTGATATCATTCTGCTAAACAAAGAAGATTAAGGCACCTCTGCTGAAAAAATATGTATTAAATCTCCTCTGGTCAACAAGGTCAATTCATATTTTTTCTGGTAAAAAAATGTAGATTGACTCTCCTTCGGTAAGCAACTTATAATTCATTTTATTTGGTAAATAAAATGACCGAAGCCCCTTAAGTAAACAACGTAGATTAAAGTCTCTCTCGTAAACAACGTAGAATGAAGACGTTTGATAAACAACAAGATTGAAGCCCTATCCGGTAAATGACGTAGATTGAGGCTTCTTTGGTAAACGATGTAGACAGAAGCTTCTGTCGGTAAACCCCTTCGATTAACAATACAGATTGAAATATCCTCCCTCCGGTAAATAATGCAGATCGAAAAACCTCCCGTAAGCGGCGTAAAGAAGATTTTCTGGTTAGCAACGTGTAGATAAAAGCTCCTTTATGGAACCGCTTTTATACGACTCACAACACACATTGAGGTCAAACTGATATACAACATGAATGAAGCCCTTCCGATTAACAACGTTGATAAAAGTTCCTTCGGTAACCAACGTTGATTGAAGTCCCTCCGGTAAAGAGCGTAAATGGAAGTCCCTGTTGTTACAACGAAAATTGAAGCCCTTAAAGTAAAAAACGCTACTGAGAAACAACATGATCCATGCCCTTCAGATAAACAACACAGATTGAAGCCTCTCCGGTAAACAACAAAGAACGAAGCTCCTCTGATAAACATAGTGGATTGAAGCATCTTCAATAAACAATGCAGATTGAAGCCCCTCTCGTTAAATAAACACATTTAATCCTCGTTCGAAAACACCTTAATATGAATACTTAACAGAAAACAACGTTGACTAGAGTTATTCCAATAAGAAACCCTTCGGCATAAAACCTAACTTGAAACCTTCCGTTAAACCAAGTAGGATGAACCCCTACATTCGAATATGCTAATTGTAAAACTAAGATTCGTATCAATAGCTGAAGAAGTGTCTGTGATATCTTTTGTAAAGAAAAATATTCATTTTTTTTACTTATGTTAATACAAGTAAGGAAAACATATCATAATTGAAACGCAATTCCTGAGTAAATAGATGTTAACTACCAGAGTCTTTGCTAAATTTGTTCTAACTCTGCTAACGTTTTGCCCAGTGTTCTCACCTTAAAAAGTGCTTAGGCAGCCCCGATATTTAACTGGATTTATTAATCTAGTTTTGTAGTAATGATACTTCTTCAATGACCGGATACTTTCGGGGTATACTTTGTATTGTCCTTATGTTGTTCCTGAAGTATTATGCGTGACATCATCATATGATCATACGTTCCATTTTAGCATTTTCAGTGCTGCCTTTGGTGTTAATGCGTAAGTTCATTTTGACATAAATTCAATTAGCAAAATGCGGATCTGAATCATGACATGCGATGTTGCATTTGAGTCTGGAAAAGACACAAACATATTTACAGAATGTTCAAGACTGTAAATCGCAAGGTCATAAAATACATAAATGTGAGTATAGAAGTTTATATAAAACATTTTACTAGTATGTCATGTTAACATGTCAAAATATTTTGTCATATTGACGGCTAAATGCTTGATAAATGAGTAGGATAAGAAAGCATAACGGTGTATATTTGCCCGTTCAAATTATTCAATTAATCATGGCTAGCCAATCGAAAAATCAGTGTACATTTGTGTTCATGTATTACACACATTATAATGTGATTGTATCCTTGCAATATTTGCTAAATGCAATTATATCAAACATTCGTCTCAAAATTATGTAGTTTATAGCACGATCTTATGTCAAAACAAATGTGTATTTAACTACACGGGCATGTGGTGGTAATAAGCCAGTGTGGTTAGTGCGCTGTGAACGTTTAACCTTGATAGATTTAGTGCTTCCACCTGATTTGCAAAAAAATGATATTAAGGTTTTAAAAGCACTTTATCCAGTAAGTCAACAAAAAATAGAATTCTATATCCTGTAGCCCATCTTAGCATATCCTTTATTTGAAATACTCATGTGTACATTGTCCTTTGCTGTGCCATAACGTGTTTTCTTTTCCATTTCAGTAAACACCAGTCTTGGACCGACAGTCAAGACAAGTCAGAGTTCAAATTATGATGACACGCACATTAGTGACAAGGTAGTAGATAACTGTATTAATCAGACGTTTGGAGGTGGTTGTTGCTCACATACAAATGGGAATCCTGCACCAAATGAAGCTTGGTGGCAGATTGAACTTGGTGATCAAGTCGTCATCGAATACGTCAAGATATACTACAGAGGTAATGTAAACATATATACATATTCTCTACTAACACTTACCTAACCAGAAAGCAAAGAAGCGGTATAGTCATTAGGTAATCATATAATACCTCATTATTGAAGTGGTTGTGTATTACCTGTGAAAGTAAGTACAATTTTAACTAGCAGCACTGCTACTGACTTATATCATAAAGGGATATTTTATTCCGGTTTATCGCTCGCCAAAGCCGATTGCAATTATTTGTTTTACATTTTGCGTCATTTTACTCATATCGTGCAGAATGATTGCTGAGCTGTTTGTCTTTTGGTTCATGATGCAGTGTCTACGAAGTCCGAATTTGGTTTTAAAACGAACCGAAAATGGTTACGTCAATATTCAGTTAAATATTGATATATTTTATACCATAGTATTAATTCCAAAAAAGATATGTTCATTTTTCATAAACAAATATACCATCCACTTTTTTTATTACCAGTCGATATTTCCGGCACGAGTTCTATAAGTAGATTGCGAAATATAATTAGAAGCGAGTGGCACACTGTTTTAACAAAATTTTAACGAATAGGGGATCTGAATTATTAGTTTTACTCCAAAGTAGCATATTTTTTTTCAATTATTCTTCTGCAAATGTTACCCAAATAAATAGCCTTGCATGGCACATACATTAGATAATTCATGTTTTGCGTTATTAGTTCTTACCTTAAACTATCCATATGACCATAAGGGACAGTCAATACACTCGATAAACAGTTGAATTGACAGAAACGTTAAATTTATACACATACATATACTTCTTTGAACATCGCATGCAGATTTCTTAGGCCGCTATCCAACAAGTGTTCCGTTTTGGGGTATTGTTTCTGAACTGGACACGTCTCATTTTACAACCTTATGACAAGCATAATCTATCTTATCCCCGACTTCTTGCATAACCATTTCATAACTGTATCAATTATTTACACGAATTCCTATCATTTATTTAGATGAAGACGTGACACATGTGTACACATTGTGTGACTGAGTAGCCGTTAACGCTCGTAATAGTTTGTAATAGCAATGTGTATTCATAGATGTTAACCAACAGTCTTGTTTCAGGCACATGTAAACTAGGTAACAATATCCAATGTACGTACAGCAATATAAACTCGTATCTATGTCTCAATATTCCAGCTAAAAAAACGAAAGCGTTGTGTCTCAACACATGTATCAAAACCATCTCTCTGGTTTCTATGATATAGACACTCTTCTAGGGTAAAAAAAATGACCGTCCTTAGTGGTCTCCAAGAACCGACTCTCTGTTGAGCAAACCTGTCCCTATTCTATACAGAAAGCAACTTCCGGTTCCTGTTAGGATGGGAATAATTGAAAGTGCTGAGGGCACAAAATAAGAAACAAATGCAGTTCGCGAGAGAACATTCAAAAGCCTATTTAAAGGGTTGAAGATAAGATCACCATTGAATCATAGCGAAGCAGAAACTTAAGGTAGCCGCAATGAAAATGACTAATTGGTTATATATATATAAGTCCAAATACCGATAAGAATAATATTGATTAACTTTATATATTGGTTATTTGGTAATTGGTAAATATAAGAGACAACTATTTAACACAGCATGTAAGGTAATATACCAGAAGGAGGATAGGCTGTGAACCAGCTGTACTGGACTTGTTGATAACAAATAAAGAAGAAATGGTGAATGAAATTATCTTTGAAAGTCTCTCGGGTACAGTGACCACTTTGTTCTGAAATATAAGTTTCTCTGCTATAACCGGAAATCTGATAATGCAGTGTATCGCCCAATTTACCACAAAGGTTTTTTTGATAGAATTAAAGCGGAATTGAATATTCATTGGGATGAAATTCTGAAAGACCCAGACACAATGTACTGTTATTTATTTAGGATTAGTTCGTGCAAGTATAGATAAACATATTCCAAAAACTAAAAGAGGAAACGGGATTAGTAAAGGATATCTCCAACAAACAAAAGAAGTAAGACAAAAAAAATCAAAAAGAAGTACAGGTCATTGGCAAAGGTACATGGAGACAAGATGCGATTTAAAACACAGAGAATGCACTAAATTAAGAAATCAGGAAACTGGAAAGGTCCCGTCTGCATAGAACGACGCTGATATTTCAGCAATATTTAAAAAGGGATAAAACCAGAAGCAGGATACTACCGACCAGTGAGCCTTACAAATATCGTAGGTAAAACAATGGGAAAGACAATACGCGATTCAATTGTTACACATATGGAGGAAAACAACCTGTTCAGTAATAAACAATTTGAATTCATCTCAAAACGTTCAACGGTGCTGCAACTATTAATGGTTCTAGAAGATTGGACTGAAATATTTGACAAGGGCGGAGAGATAGACGTAGTGTACATGGATTTTATGAAAGCCTTCGAAAATGTCCCACACAAAATATAAATAGGAAAACTTTTTGAGTAATAGAAAGCAGAATATGTCGTTTGAGTTATATTATTTTCTTTTTTAAAAGAAAATGACAAAAAGTTTATAAAAGACTTTTTATCAATATATCATACCAAAGGACACCAAGTTAAAGTACATGTAATATTTTGAAAAAAAATGAATGTAAAAAAATCGGGAAATTCCCATTTATGAAAATTTAAAGTATACCTCGTATAAATGCTTTTAATAGTCAACATTACCAAGTGATTTCGCTGTATTTTTATAAAAACAAAAATCTCAAAAGATATAGTTCAATACCGCTCTAATTATAGTATATGTATTTTTGTAGGTCGTTGTGCCGTTATATAGTTCAATTGGCAGAGAGTGCTGGACCATACATATATGTACATGTATAAGCAAAACTGAAATGTTTAAACATATTGTCTATAAACACATGTTCCTATAGGGAACCCAATAATACTAACAAACTAAAAAGTCAGTCTTCTTCCAAGCTTTCGGGCTTAGCCCTTCGTCAGGGATTAAATGCTATCGGACCTCTATGTCACATCCATCTTGAAAAACAGGATGAGTTACTCATCTTGAAAAAAAACCATTTAATCCCTGAAGAAGGGCTTAGCTCGAAAGATTGAAAAAATAAATAACTTTTCGTTTGTAAGTGTATAAACATACATAAAGTAGAGATAATTTTTTTGCTTTACTAAAAGAAATGAAAAATGCCTAAACCTTTATCTATAATATGGATGAGAAAAAAACAGAAACTCGACGGAACGGAAGTTGAAGAGATAAGTTCCCTATCAAAGGTAAATTTAAGAATTTATAAATACTTTTCATATATTTAATTTGACAACCAATTGTAATTGTAATCTCGTCTTTATTGTTCAAATTTAACTAAGTTATTTCTTTGATATATGTAAAAGCCCAAGCTTTGACACCAATGGTAGAATTTAACATGTTCGGATGATACTTTTTTACCTAGATCTTTTTACATTACGATTTAAATGCCAGAAAAATGTTCCAGTCGCATCAGCATTTTTTATCTAGATCTGAAGTTATGCTATGTATTGTGTTATTGAATAGGGTGGGGCTGAAACAGCTCTTTATGGGGTACCTTTCTCCCTAGTTCCTTCACAGTAATATTCCTTCTTTTGATTTAATTTTCAAGTTTAGTTGATTATTCCATAATTCCTCATTTTTTCTGAGACCACATCTATGAGTATTGAATAATATTTATTTATCACTAATGCATACTTGGGGGCTACATATGAATTCTACTTATATTCTATTTTTAAACAAATAATTAAAATACTCATTAGTGTGTTTTTAACTTATAATTAATTGTGCTACGTCAGGGATCTTTTATGTGATTTATATACTTGGATTAATGACTGTTATCAAGAACATACTATACAAAACAAAGTGTATATGTAAGTACATGCATTATATATATGATAGAGCTCTTTAATACATCTCAAATTCACACAGCAATAATTGTATAGGTTCAAAGTTTTTGAGTTTAGTTTGGTCATCATTTGCACAGAAACATTGTCGTTCATTATTCTTTT